GAGAAGAACCCGTCCAGAAGACCTATACAATTTTTTTCTTTTTGATTTTTTACCTGGATTACTGAGAAGCATCAGGACGTTGTGGATAAACATCACCAGCATACCAGCTGCCTACTCGTGTTTATTCATAAACCTGCTAATCTAATCAAGAAGCATCAATTATCATTTTATAACCACATCTGGGCCTCTGTGTTGTGATGAAACTAAACTGGGAGGTGCCTGGTGCCCTGCCCTAACCGGGTCGTGTTTTTCTTTTACCTAAGTAAAAGAAAACGCTTTAAAACAACAGCTGCATATGTTTACCAGGTGTTAAACTGCGCCTGGAACATGAGAAAGAGGTGCCTGGGTTTTAAAGTGACTTATGAAAAGAAGTGCTTTAGGAAATCCAGAATGGTACGATTATAAGGAGCACAACAGTTTTCTCTGGCAAACTACTTTTGCTGAAATTTCTAAATCAGTTTCATTTTAAACAAATACGGTGGAGGGGCTAAAGTTCAGTATCTRTATTATGTACCAGAGGTGGCCAGTTGCAGTTTTAGTTGTTTGTTGAGTAGCATGTGACTGCAGAATGCACACAGAGCCAGCTAACTGGACCAGCAGCTAAAGTGCTCACAGGTAAAGTGTTGGAGATTTAAGAGCTCTCTGCAAACGTTAAAGTCCATTTCCACAGAGATGAAAGCTCGCTGCTGCCTTCTGCACATGTGAGGTTTCAAGAGCCAAAGCAGACGTTCTTAAGTAACAAAGATTATCAAAAGACCACATTATAAAAGATAAATATACACTTACATCAACCAGTTTCACGGTTTCATTTAAAATACACAGATGATTCATCTGTAATAATATTAATTGGAAGGCACAGCTGTTAACATATTTAAGCACAGATTACAAACTCTTTTAGAAAGACTTTAGTGCTTGCATTGAAAAATTAGAAAATATCAGGTTCAAATTGATGAACAAGTTGAAAATAATTCAGGTTTCCCTTATAAAAGCATCTTTGGTTGGCTCCATCTAGCTGAGTCTTGGTAAATGCACTTGTGAATCCATACTTCATTCTTATTAATGTGTATCTTCACTCAAGCAACAGCTGAGAAAGCAAAGAGGACAGTGGATATATGGTAGAAAGGCATATAAAACATGTTATAATGTAAGCAGTGTGGATAAGCACTGATACAGGCAAACTATACTGCATTTGTGTTGTCCTGCGACGGAGGCGTCCCCGCCAAGTCTACTCCATCCCAGCAGGACTGCAGCTGAGGCTCTGCTCCCGCTCCGTCCRAGCAGGACCGCCGCCGAGGCGCCGCGTCTACTCCACCAGAGAMGGACTGACAAACAGCCCGGAACGCTGAGCAGAAACTCTGTCGCTCTGCTGGAATAAGAGGGAAAAACAGCATTTACACATCAGTGACATCAGGGCTGCCACAAACCGTTATTTTTATAGTCGATTAATCACACATTATTTTTTCGATTAAAACATAAAGCTTATGGTGCCAGAATGCAGCTGCTATTATATAACCATTGTTAGATTTTAGCTATATGCTAACTAAAAATAATTGCTGTGGAAGGTAAGTTCTGCTCTGCAGATATTACACAGGTTTCTCTTTCATTTTCTTAAAATGATCCCACACTTTGAGCTCTGTTGTCAGGTAGCCATGATACCAGAGCCTGTCTGTATAATGTCTTGTGACGTCCACGGCCTACCCCAGTTACCACTACTGTGCATGTGTGTCAAGGACAGAAAGGCAGATGTGGCAGTGGAAGGTGTCAAAGCAGTTTGGAGAGAAAAACAAAGTAAAAAAAACAAAAAAAAAAACCCCGACTAATCGACTATTAAATTTGTCATAGACTAGTCGACTAATCATGGCAGCCCTAAGTGACATGCATTGAAATATTAGAAAACGCTACTCAAACAGTAGCCGTGTTTCCATCCAATTTTAATTCGAATTTTGAGCGAGTTTTTAAAATTTCGCAAAAAGGAAAAAACAAAGAAATGCGAATCAGACGTGTTTCCATCAACTGGCTTAAAGCAAATCAGTTACGTCAGACGCATGTGTGTAGTAAACAGGAAGTAAGAGTCGCATCTCAGGAAAATGGAGAGAAGTTATCAGGAATGTGTTGCTACTATCGGGAAAGTTGTAATTTATTCTGTCATCAACTAGTTTTGGCRATTTTACATGCGATCGGGAGATGTAATGCAATTTTTTTTACATTACGGAATTAACGGAGAAGTAGGGTTGGGCAATATTGGCAAAAAAAATAATCATGATTAATTGTGGTATTTAGCCGATAACGATTAATTTGACGATTAATCCCCCAGAGTCCCTGGACACCCTTATTTCATAGTCACATGACCAATTTATAGGGAGAAAATTGGCTCTTTGTAAAAATCTTTTCCAAATTGTGTCAAAATTACAGACTTCAGGCTATACATCAAACTTTAAATTGTGTTGATAGATAAATAAACTACACAACTTTTTTTAATGTTGGTCATATTTGAATCAGAGAGGAGCACCAAGCGGTTAGTCTGCCTGGTGGCATTAATCATATTAATCGTCAAGTGCCAAAAATTAATCGATTAATGTTTTTCTGACGATTAATTGCACACGATACGATTATGCCCAACCCTACTGAGAAGACGCCGACAGCGGGGGGAGCTTCCTGCTGCGAGTCGTGGCTGTAGTCGCTCTGGTACCGGACCGGTTTCGGACAGACAGTGGGAACAGCTGATCAACATGTGAGGTAAATGTTCRCYACGTCAGACCTGATWYGAAAAATGTGTTTCCATCTCCTTTTTGCACATTAACTCTTTTTCGAAAAACCCAAAAACCACCTCAAGCGAGCGTATCAACTTTGATGTGAATTAGAGGAAGTTTTTTCGAATCAAGCCGTTTCCATCCATCTTTTCTGATGTGATACTTCTAAATGCCCATTAAAAACCTTGATGGAAACACGGCTAGTGGCAGAATGTAAGCTGCCCACTCAGAAAGGTGAACCAGAGGACAGAATACCTGGGAAGGTACTCAGAAACTGTGCTGACAGGCTCTGCACTGTTTCCACTACCAGTCCCTAGCACCATTGATCCACCCTGTCAGCAGCTGCTGTTCCCAACCCCAACAAGTCCACCACTGACGGTCTGAATAATATGACATCTATTCTCATGAAGTGCTTTGGGTGACTTGTATTGASACATGTCAGATCCTTGTCATTGCCACAGCCCTCCACACAGCTCTCATCTGAAAAGCTATGTGAGATGGCTATTCATTGATTTCAGCTCTGCAATCAATACCATCATTCCTAATATATTGATTATCAAACTGTCTGACCTTGGTCTGTCCACGCTGACCTGCCACTGGATAAAAGACTTAGTAACCAACTGCCCACAAGCGTGGACCCCAACTCTCCATTGCCATCTCAACCAACACTGGTTCACCATAGGCTGTGTGATGAGCCCAACACACATGACTGCAATCCACTGATGCCATCATTAAATTTGCAGATGATGCAGTGGTTTACCTGTGTCTGTGTGTTGCCGTTCAGGTTGTGCTGGATACTGTGTGGGAGCTCTGCTGAGGCCACGCTGGAGGCTGCAGTCAAAGGATGGATGCTGGGGTTCTCCTGGCTGGTGCTCGGCAGGCCCTCCACAGGACCCTGGCCCCACTGGAAGTGATAGGAGCTCTGAGGAGGATACTGGCCCAGAGACACGTTGGGCCCATTGATCCCTGGTGGTGCACAGTGAGACAGGACGTCGCCACCTGCTGGTCTGGAGGAGAACTGCGGCTCAAACATGCAGCTGCTGTGAGGGGCTGACGGACCCCCCTGCTCGGTCTGGTTCAGTCTTGTATTTTTGCCTGGCCAAAATCCAGCATTTGGGAACGTTTGGTTGTGTGTATTTTGGCTCTGGAATGTGGGCATGGTCCCCTGTTCATACGGCTGCTTCAGCTGCTGGTTCTGGGGCCACTGCTGGAGGGAACCATTGTGTGTTTCGAACGCTGYGTGCGTTTGGAGATGTTGGACAGGAATCATGCGCGAAGACGTGAAGGTGCTGCTAGGAATCAGGGGAGGCACAATGTTTGGCGCAGCAGGTTGTGGAGCCGTGCTCTGCAGCATCAGTTCTGCTCCTGTCAGTTTAGCTGTCTGCAGGCGGTTCTGATGCAGCAGAAGYTGGTTTGGCTGCTGGACTTGAACAGAACTGCTCTGAGAGCAGCTCGCKGGTCTGAGTGAGGTTTGCCGGCACGACTGAAGTACTGGAAGGTCCTCGTCGGTGGAGATGTTAGGAACAGTGAGCTGTGGGAGCTCAATGGATTGGCTGAAAATGTCCTGCAGCTGTAGCTGCTGCAGAGGTGGCAGGGTGTTGTCAGCCGGAGTCAGCAGAGGACCCTGGTGGGAGAGTTTCTGGTTCCCACTGACCATCTGTGGAGACTTGACCAGGCTTTGTCCTCCARTCACTGCTCCACCAACTGCAGCTTCTCTGTGAGGGTAGCGACCATTCACAGCAGAGTAAGTGCCGTCTTGAGGCGGAGCCTGAAACAGTTGTGGCTCACACAGTTCAGGCGTGGAGAAGCTGCTCTCCACACCTGAACTGTGTGTGGAGAAGTTGATCTCCATGAGACAGCTGGAAGGCAAGGCGCTCAGGCACTGCTCTTCTTTCTCCTTGAACACAGAATCAATAAAGTCAATGATGTCGTCGGTGATGACGCTGTCCAGTTCTGGCTCCACGGTCCTCTGCGGCTCCTCCTCCTGGTGGAATCTCTTCAGGCAGTTTTCCCACTCCATCAGCTCTGCGTCGTCCACCTCCAGATGCTGCAAGATCGAATCAAAGTCTCCATTCTGGGTCAGCTTCTCCAAGCTGTCAATCACAGCCAGCACTGACTGCTTGGTCTCCTTGAACATCACAGGCTCACTCGTGGTGGCCGCAGACTCGTTTTCCTGCCACATGTCACTGGAAACTGTGACTAGGGCGCGGCTGTCCATGAACACCTGGTCCACMGGTAAGGGGGGATCCAACTGGTCCACAGGTAGCGAGGGATCTGCCGTTTGGGTGTAGATGGTTTCATCCTGTCTCAGGAAGCAGTCCAGCAAAGAGCCAGGGGCCACATCCTTCTTCGCGTCTTTGCTGCCAAACATTTTGTTGAACTGAAACTGGGAGACGTCCACGGTGGGGCCCGTGTTGTAGAGGATGGCCTCTCCTGTGGAGCAGCTGAAGGGCAGCTGCAGCCGTCGCTGGCGCAGGTACTCCTCCCCCTCAGCATTTCTGAAACAGAGGCAGCATCATCAGATGGGCGACTCTCACAGCTGACTCAGTGTCTGCTGTCAGCCACTCACGATAAAGCTTTCTGGTACGCTATGATGAATTCAGGTCGTCCTCCTTTGTAGATCAGCTTGGCGTTGGCCTTCACCCACACCCAGCCATTCGACTTGCTGAGAAGTCTGAAGACAGTCAGACCGCTCTCTCCTGTTTTAATCACTGTCAGACAAGAGAAAAGACACAAACAAAAACAAGTCGATTATGTGAAAATGTTTGTTACAGAAGAAACTGCTTAAGCAATAAATACAATTAGAAAATATCTGTAGAAATGCTGAAAAGTACCTAGATCAATCAACTTTCTTTTCTAAATTCTAAATACTAAATAAATAACTTATAGAACAAATAACAAGTGCTGTTGTTCAAAAACAGTATTGTGCTAGCATTTATGTGGATTTAAGGAAAGYATTTGACACCATTGATCACAGTATTCTTCTTGAAAGACTACATAAATATGGTATAAGAGGTCCAGCACTACAGTGGGTATCTACTGTAGCTATTTGAAAAATAGGAAACAGTTTGTGCAAATAAATGATGTAAGATCTGAACTTAGCAATATCACATGTGGAGTTCCTCAGGGTTCTGTACTTGGACCAAAGTTATTTATTTTGTATGTAAATGATCTGGTTAATGTGTCAGGGGTGTTTAAATGTGTTTTATTTGCAGATGACACCACATTATTTTGTTTGGGTAATGATATACAACGGATGATGGAAATAATGCAAACAGAGTTTGTAAAAATACAAACCTGGTTTAAACTTAATAAATTGTCACTAAATTTGGATAAAATTATATGATACTTATGAGAATTTATAAGTTAAAAAAATATGAAACTGTATAATGTATATTAAAAGTTGTTGTTTGAAAAGGAATTGAAGTTTTTAATTTGTTTTTTTTTTTATTGCTTGAAATTAATTTTGGAAAAAAGGGGCAGATTTAAGATTTTTTTCTTCTTTCTGCCTCATTTCATTTCAAGTGTGATTTTTTTTCTTTATTGTGTACAAAATTTTTATTTTTATATGAAATGAATAAATGAATAAATAAAAAATAAGAATTTAGGACTTCTTTTTTAATGACATAAGCTGACAAAATTCTAACATTTTGATATATAAACTGTATAAAAAGTGTGAAAATAGGAAGAGTTAGAGTGTGACATTACTCCAAGTTGACCGTTTTTGGTTAAATCTTAAAAAAATCATAAAACTTAAACTGTGATTATGTAAAAACAAAACAAACAAACAAACAAACAAAAAACACAGATGTCAAAATGCTCATTCAGACATGTGAAGTCCAGTTATACAGCTCCAAAGAGGGCTGGGTGTGCTCATCTTTTCACCAAAACTCTGTTGTAGTCATTGTTGACATTTGTCACCATTTTTCTGTGAATTTCCTCTACGTCGTGGAGGTGTAATAATGCATTCACAAAACAAGACAAACCCGATATTCTGACTAAAAGAGGCTGTTTGGAGTTGGTTTCACTTTAACAGCCAGAACAACTTCACGTCACTGGTTCCACTCAGAGGCTCTGTAAGGGTCAGTTCAGTTTTTCTAAACCAAACCTATCAAATCAGGTCTTTATAGTCCTTGATTTGTGCACTCAGACTTATTAAGCCTAAATATTCTCAGAAAAAACTTGCCTACATGTTCATCGCTCATACAAGCCCTCAACCAACGATAATTATAAACGATTCATTCTGACTGTGTTTGTGGGACTGTGAGCTTTATTGCTGCTGACTCTCCATTTATTGTGTAAATAATGTTTAGTTTGTGTGCGAGTGTGAAGAGCAAACATACTCCGGATGTGGTTGTCAGCGCAGTACATCATATCAGCAGCGTGGATGAACTGGTAGCCGGAGCCTTTCATACACAGCTCAGTCTCTGAATAACCCAGAATGATCTTCCCCCTGGAAAACATGGAGTTAGTGCTGCTGAAACCCAAAAGACTGTTCTGATTCTAGTCCAACAAAACTCATTCTTTTTCCTCTAAACTGTTTACTCAAACTGTTTACTTAAACTTTGTTTACAAGCTCAACTTGAAGGGAGAGCTGYTGATCATCATCTACCACTGCTCCAGTAAAACCATGCTGACATGTTGCATCCCTGTGGTTTTCCAGCTGCACCACAGCACACAAGATGCAAAGGTTCAGTAACATGGCCTGGAACGTTGTTAATGCTCTCTTCCCTCCCTGGAGCACCTCTACAAAACACAACATTCTATAGGATGGCACACATTCAGGACACTGGGTGTTTGAGCTGCTGCTGTAAGAGATCACAGAAAAACTGACACTGTTTTTATCATCAAGCTTGACCTTATTAATCTTTTTTTAGCACTGTTCCATTTTTATAGAATCTTTTATGTTATTAGTTTAGTCCTGTGGTGGATCTGCAGCCTGTCTGGGGGTTCCCCGCCTCTCGTACAGTGGCTGCTGGGCGTGGGCACCGGTGGTCCCTGTGATAGTACTTGTTTTCACCAAGTCCATCCATCCATCCATCCATCCATCCATCCATCCATCCATCCATCCACCCATCCATCCATCCATCCATCCAT